AATGAAGTTTCTAGAAGAAACACAGAGCATCTTCGTGACCTTGTAGTATGTAAGGATTTCTTAAATAGATCCCAATTCTCAATCATATTGGGAAAAATAATAAATTTCTATATTAAATTAACAACTTTCATTCATTAGCCAGATGCAGTGGCTCAGAGTACCCTCTCAAAGTGCTGAGATTACAGCACTTTGGGAGGCCAAGGTGGGTGAATCCCTTGAGCTTAGGAATTCAAGACCAGCCTGAGACCTTGTCTCTACAAAAAATACCAAAAAACAAACAAACAAACAACAACAACAACAAAAACCATGCATAGTGGCACACACCTGTAGTCCTAGCTACTTAGGAGGCTGAGGTGGGAGTATGGCTTGAGCCTGGGAGGCAGAAGTTGCAGTGAGCCAAGATTGCACCACCGCACTCCAGCCCGAGTGACCAAGTGAGATCCTCTCTCAAAAAACAAACAAACCAAAATAAATAAAAAACTTTCATTCATCAAAAAGACACCAACATCAATAAAGCAAAAACTACAGCTCACAAAATGGAAAGTAATATTTGCAACATTTTTCTAACAAAACATTTCCATAATATATAAAGAATTTGTACCAATCAATAAGAAAGAGACACAAACCCAGGAGGAAATGGGGTGAAAACATAAACAAGTATTTCACAAAATAGAACATCCAAACGGCCAATAAACATACTAAAAGACAGCAAATCTCATTAGTTATCAGGGAAATACAAATCAAAAACACAGTGAGATAATACTACACACCCAGTGAGTGGAATGGCTAAAATGAAAGACGGACAATGCCAACTGTTGAGTAAAGAAGCTGGAACCCCCATAAATGTTTCTGTGGCCGCTGTATATTGGTAGCACCATGTTTAAAAAGTTGCTGGCAGTATCTACTATAAGCAGTGTAGGCATTCATGACCCAGCAGTTTTACTCCTAGGGATACACATTACAGAAATGCATGCATGTGTTCACTAAAAGATGTATACAAGAATAGTCCTAGCCCAAATCAAAAGCTACCTGAGTGTCCATTCAATGGTAGAATGGAAAAATAAACTGTGGTATATTCACAACGAGTTAGTGAAATGAGAATCAGAAAACTGCAACCACACATAATAATGAGAATATCTCTCACAAACATGCTGAAAGAGTGCAGACACACAAAAGAGTAGAGGCTCAAAACAGGCAAAACAAATCTGGGACCTTAGAAGTCAGGTTGGTGGTTTGTCTTTGCAGGGTTTTAACTAGAAGGGACATGAGGAAGGCTTCTGGGATGTTTAAATGTTCTGCAACATTTTTGCTAAGTGCTGATTACATGTTCAATTTGTGAAATTATTCAATTTGTGAGAAGTTGTCCAGCTGGACACATGATCCTTGCCTAAAACTGAACACTTATAATTTATGCATAAAATAAAATCTCATTGCTAGACATTTGATATTTTTTCAGTTTATTTTTGATTATATTTGGAGAGGCCAATTTTACATGATAGCTTCAAACCAACCATTGTACATTAACCAAATTTTACACAAGCCATTTGAAAAAAGATCTAAAAATGTGCTTAGTTATTGGTATTATATAACATTTATCAAGCACCAAGAGTGTGCTGAGCTCTGTACAGAACAAACATAGAAAAGACACAGTCCCTGCCTTCAAGAATATCCAGTCCTTCAGGATCTTCCACATAAAATTTCACCTGACATTCCACACTCTTTTATTCATAAGGCATAAATAAGGAAGTTTGTTGCATTTCTCATTGTTACTTAATAAATACCGAATACCCTTTTCCCCAATTATACCAATGATTACTCATATCTTTGCATTTAAATACAATTTCCATAGTACAATATACAGTATATACTGATTTGGTATTCACACAATTGACCACAATATTCTTGCAGGTTGGTTATAATATGAAGCATGTTGAATTTCAACATTCACAAATTTTTATACCACTTAACAGAATCGTTAACTGTTGGCAGAGCATCTTCTGTTTTGTTTTTTTCTATTTCAAAAACAACAACAACAAATGTGATGCCACTGCTCTTATCTTGATAACTTGTAAACAAAAACAGCACTGCCTTGATTCCAATAAGGGTATCAGATCTATGGCACAATTATTCAGAACAGTGATTTTTAGCACATCTATTAAACTAGCCTTGCAGATACCAATCACATAGTTGCATGCCTTAAAATACTAACAATTTATTTACTTTACTGTATTTCAGTTTAATGAAGGGGATACTGGTTATAAAATACCTGAAAAATATGAGCGGGGAAATATTTTTTGCTCTTCTGCAAGGCTGTATTCAGAACAAATTTAGATTAGAAGATGAAATGATTATGAATTTGATCATCCGCTAAGGACATTTGATTTCAAAATAATCTCTTAAATAACACTTTATTATTTTTAAAACGCAGGAAAAATGAAGTGAATTTTGATAATGTTGTAATTTTAGACTCAGATGCAAGTAATTATCCTTTATGTAAAAATGTGAGAGTATGGTGGAAGATGGTACCGAGTACCGCAGACAGGCCAGTCCATATGTCACCTGTGGCGAGCTCACTGCGACAGGAGGGGACCGGCAAAGATTAAAGGGATGGACAGACATTTCCCTCCTAGCCCGGTTCTGTCTTGCTCATTCTGCAAACTGAGGGAATAGAGGATATAGGATGAGTCTGGGGGTCAGGGAAAGAAGGCTGGGGTGAGCTTGGGGTCAATGGCAAGAAAGGCTCCAGCTGTGAACTTCACCTTCTATAGCTCTCAAGACCCCAAGCATCCAAGAGCTCTAAGCCATGGTAATGATTCATAACCTCAACATCAGACCTGGTATTATCAGGCTGAGCATGACCCCGGTCTGGAGAAAACCACCTTAGCTTTGGCTTCCATTGTCTAATTTCCTGGATCATTAACAAGCCTGGATGTTTCTGTTATGTGACAACAACGTTGAGTTGAATTTTAAAGCTACTCAAAGCTACTCTGGACTTAGAGCAAGACTGAATTCCTCTGACTACCTCTCCAGCTATGGAAAGCATGGAAGAAAATTCTACAGAATCCTTTCATTTCCAAGGCTGAGGTATGCCTTATAGTCATGCCCTCCCTAGGTAGCTAGGCACATACCCACATGGGGTTCATTAGGAATAGATTCACCCAAGGGCAGTGGCAAAACTGGTTCGGTCCAGCCCCTAAGATCCCACCTGTCAAATGGAAGAGTTGGGGTGGATTTCACTAGATTTTTCTTACGTTGGGTAAGTTTATCTCCACTCTTCTGCAAATTCAGAGCAAGAGGTTGGGAGCTACTGATCTCTGATACTCTGGCACTTAACCTGTGATCAAGAGGAGAACAGTGGGACTGGAATGCAGTGTAGAGTCTTACTGGTTGAGGGGTGCAGTGGAAAGGCAATGCCCAGAGTGGTAACCTAGTAGTCTCTTTGGAGTGAAAGAAACAACCTCATGTAATATGCCCAATTGAAAACAGAGCACCAAAGACTATAATTCTGATGACAATAACATATATATATATATGTATATATTTCATTTTCAATTATAAATCCTCAGTTTTTCATACTAAGGCTTAAGTTTCCAGTCACTGAAATTGGAAATCCCTACATAAGCGTGATAATACAAATGGACAACATGAAGACCTTTAAATATAAAGGTTCACTACAGATGAAAACATTCATTTCTCACTTGTTCACATCATAAAATTAACTGTCTACTCCTTAAGGGTGAACAACAGAATTAGACACAGCAAGCTAAGCATTATTTGGGATTTTTTTTGAATGGATGCTGGACTCCTATTGCTTTAAAAATTGAAATGCTCTCACACCTGTCTTTTAGAAATTTATTATATCATCCAGAGGGATTGCACTTGCTACCAAAAACTATTTATATCCCACCTTGTTATCAAAAAAATGCAAGGTAGCTAGTTTCTGTCAATCCTTTTTTCTTTAACCTGTGACAAGACATTAGAATTGGATGTTGATAAGGATTCTTTCTGTTCCATTATTGTCAAAGCACCATTCAGCAGGTGGAGACAGATCAAGTTCGGGTGAAATTACAACAGCTTCTTTTACACTAAAGAAACCTTGCTCCCAAGTTATTTAACGGAGAAGACAATAAATGGAAATCGGGTATTCAGATAGACATATAGATAAGTGGTTAAATAGATAATATTTTTTGCACTGCTGATAAGTATTCAAAACTCTGGAGTAGGTGTTGTGGTAACTGAGAAAACCCCAGTGCCTTTATTATTATTATTATATTATTGAACAAGCTTTCAAAATCATTTTAAAGCCACTGAAAATGGCTGACATTAGTGGTGCATGAAAACCGTGGTTTACAGATAGAATGTCAAAGTTTAGCCATTGTCTCTACTCTTCAAGGCACAAGGAGAAGTTCCAAACTCTTCAACTCATGTATGAGAGGCAGAGCCTCTGGTATACCAGGAGATAGAAAATTAAGGAATACAGCCATACACCAAAAGCAAGAACAGGAGATCTTTGGAGTGGCCATGATTTTCAAAGACTGACCTTACATCATTAACAAGCAGCTCCCCTACACTTTGGACTAAGGACGGGAAGGTCTCCTGGCCTGAATACCTTGGCCATCATGCAGTCTGAACACTTCATTCCATGCCTGAGTTGGTAGTCCAGCTCCTTGTTACCCCAGGCACAAGGAAGAAGGTCCAGAATGTTTCCATGAAGATCTGCAGTGATGCAGACATTCTGTTGTGTTGATGGCAAAAGGGCAAGAGTGAAAGTCAGTAGCCCTTGATAAAAGTCGACAGACGGAATACCCTTTAGGGACACGCACCCTGTTACTTCACCAGCAATGGTCTAAGAGCATTACGGAAAACAGAACTCACCCTCTTTTCTTCTTATGTTGCTATTTCCCTTAGTTTCTTCTAAAGAGGCATGTATTAAATATCTTCTGCATAACTTATTACCCACCATTAAACATCATCAAAATGGAAAGAACCCAATTAATCTCTTTTTTTTTTTTTTGGCCTGGGATAGTCAATTTGTATTTACTGGTAGTCCATTACATTCTTTTGGTAGGAAAAGATATTGCACTTCTAAAAATGCATCGAGTGTAATTGAGTCAAAGCTAATAGGTACGTAGATTTCTCACTAGAATGTGTATTTTCTAAAAACCACCTTCATTCAACATTTGCAAAAAAGCTTCCATGATTTCATCTCTATCTCAACAGACTGTTGCCTCACTGCTGCGAGCTTCTAAAACACAGACAAGACATTGGTAGTCGTACGCCGCACGCAGGTTGCATTCTCAGCTCATGATTTCATTGTGCAGATGGGCACGACAATCACGAGGATGACCGTGCATGCCGCCGCAGCGATCAGAGCAGCTATCTTGCAGACCTTGGCTCGTCTGAATTCGGCTTCTTTACGTTTTAGTAATGAATCGTAGCCTGGAGTATAAATGTCTTCCATCCAGTACTCTAAGTTGTTTGGGTTTAAAGATTCTTGTGTCTAAAAGCGAAGAGAAGACGTTAGAAATACGGTGAATATCTGAAATCAGGTCAAAGACGTCCTGACAGGCATCACTCCTGAAGCACTTACGTTGTCTGTAGCTGGGAGTTAAACTGTGGTACAGCACTGCCCCACCAGCCCCGGGGCCAGAGGCAGGCTACCACGGGCTCATCCCACATATCAGATTGCAGGGACCCCTCCCTCATGCTGGTTTTGACACAGAGAAACATAAGGGTCTTTATCTGCAAGCAAGCAAAATGGGGCTGAGACGAGCAAGACTCTGAACTTCAAGGGCATGCAACCAAGAACAGGCTGGCCCCGCTGCCAGGGAAACGAGGAAAGTCACTGAAAAATGCTTTCTTCCAGCAGGCTCGAAGAACAGATCTGCTTGAAACAAGGCCATGATAGCACTCTGAGTCAGTTCTTCTTTCTCAGATAAAGCTTCTACTGAAAAAATCAAAGGCACCTCTAAGATGAGCAGTTCAAACAAAACACAAAATATTTCAACCTCAACCATCTGTCTGAGCAGGTCATGATGCTGGTCAAAGTCAAGGTCTGCTGACCCCATGGCAGACCGTTCCCACCCCAGACCTGCGTTGGCAGTGGTTCCAGACTTGGGGCAGCTTCCCTAACTGACATTTGTCTCCTGATCTCTCCAAGATTAATCAACTGTCATCAGGAGAAATACCGTATTTCACCTGTACTGCCCATGAATCCACGTGGACAGTTATAATCTATTTCCGTGAAGAAAGGCAGTGTTCTTATTTTAAGGCAAGCATTTAATAATATGAGGGTCTCATAAAATCAGCAACACATTGCGATTCCAAGTGAGGTCATTTAAATCTTTGAAATGCAAACAAAATATCCATTTTGAAGATTTTCTTAGATTGTTTAATGCTCATAAACACAGGCACATTAAAAATTATTCATACACATATACAAACAAAGGCTCAGAAAACCCTTCAAAGTTTTAAAAAACTTGGTTGTACCATTTATTGGTAGAACAGTGATGATTCTAATGCATGCTAGTAATTTTCTGCTTGACCTTCTAGATTCATTCTCTGTTTTTTTTTAAATCTTGCCCTGTGCCACTAAAAATATAATCTACATGGATACATCATGGGGGCTCCCCTGCCTTCAAGCACCACTAGGGGTTCAGCCAATGAAGACAAAGAGAAAGGGAGGTTGAGGTATTCATTCCCCCAGCTCCCTCCCAGTGGGGCTGTCGTTTGGCAGGGGCCCGGCTCCTATTAGACACCCACTGTCAGACCTATGGGTCTCAGTGGGTTTCAGAAACAGCCCCTTTCCCTTGGCCCTTCAGATTCAAGGGTGGCAATAGCTTTCTGCTGGTGCTGGTCTCTGGGTGCTTCACCAGCTATTGTAAAGAGTCCCCTCCTCAGTTATCCCTTGGAGTATGCCACGTGCCTGCTGCCAGGACACTAACGACTCAGACCCTGCACCCCTCAGGCTTCAGTATCTGCCTGTTACTCACAATCGTCCGGCACAGGCGTACGCGTACCACGACCTGCGGGCCGTATCTGACCTGCCACCTGTCTTGGCACAGCCCTTGAACTAAAAGTGATTTTTTTTTCATTTTTAAATGGTTGAAAAGAAATCAAAAGAATAAGATTTTATGACATGTGAACATTATATGAAATGCAAATCTCAGTGTCCAAAGATCAAGGTTTATGGGAACAGAACCATGCCCATTTGTTTCCAAACTGTCTATACCTGCTTCCACACTACAGTGGCAGAGCTGAGCAGTTATGAGAGATTTCAAGGCCCGCAAAGCCTGAGGGATTTACTGTCTGGTCCTTTAGCGAGAAAGGTCACCAGCCCCTGTTCTAGGACGTGCTATGCGACACTGCACAATGGAAAGAGAAGGGGATCTAGGCACCACAGAAAATCTTCCGGTCCCTTCCCTCACCGAGGCTTCATGTTTAGACTGCTGTTGAATTTTTCAAGTTCTATGGAAGGGTGGAAGGTGGTCTTGGACACTCAGGGCACCCAAAATAGAAACCAGGACACTCTGAATGTGGGAAAAGTCCTTATGGTGCAGGGTTCTCTGTCCAACCCTTCAGCCTTTGCAAGAAACTCCTGCTACAGCGTCCTGTGCTAGGGCCCGGGGAGCCTCTGCCCTGAGCTTCCCCAAGCAGGTCCACTGCTGCCCGGCCTTGACTGCTAGACCGCCTCCTCCTCCTGCTGGAGCCGCCAAAGCTCTGCCTGCCACAGGCCGTTGGGACCAATCTGCTGTCCTTGGCATGAAAACCCTTCAGCAGTTTCATAGGCACTCGAGAAAGGAGAGATGGACCCAAGATGGGCATGTTTTGCTGGAGGACTGGTCTGCAGAAGGGGGCAATGTGCCTCTAAAGCCTGGGTGCTGGTGGAGGCTGAGACCTGCCCTGGCACCCGGAAGTCAGGCTCAGCACTCTCTGGGTCAAACAACCTGCTCTTCTCCGCCATCCCAGGGCCGGCCCAGAAGGCAAACGGTGTGTTAAGTGACACATCAGATTTCGTGCTTTCTTCCCTCTGGCTCAGACAGAAGGAAATTGGCTTCCTTTTCATAGCTATCTACATTTTATTATGGGCTGGGATTCAGTGTGTGAAATAAACCATTTTTAATTAGTTTTTTCGATAACTGTAAGCTGTGATGGCACCAAGTAGAAGAGAGGTAGTACTGAGGTTTCAAGGGGCGCGGGGAGTGTATGCAGTTGCTAATTAGTCCTGGTCAATGTTGGAAAGAAGAACAAGCCTACACCTTTGCCTACGCCCTCAAGCAGACACCACTGAAGGCGGATGTATCTCGGCAAAACGGGACTCTGAAAAGATCGTCCAGAAGCCAACCCTGCCCTAAGACTGTGCCCGAGTCTCTGCAAAGAGATGAAAACAAAAAAGGCGGTCCCTGCTGCCTTCACCAAGCTGTCAAGGTTGGCTTGGTTTCGCTGTAAACACCCTCACTTGGCGATTGAACTCTACTTCCTCATATTTTATGCAACAGGATTCTCTCTCCTTTGCATTTTTAAGTAATGTCACCTAAAGCTCTGTAACCCAAGTGTCTATTTTTAATTTTTATAATTTTATCTTTATGCTCATAAAAATATTGGTACACTAAAAGTTCACATCTCTATAGGGGCAAAATCTTCCAGCTCCGTCCCTGCAAACTTTGCAGAGATGTTTCCCAGTCTGTGACTCACTGAATTAATGACTCTTTCAAGGTCATCCAGTGATACTGGTGAGATATTGATTATTCCGTCAGTTGAGCCATTCACACCTCCAGGTCCTTTCTGACCCACCAGCTGCCCTTGGTATTCTAATTCCCACAGGTGGAGGGGAAACACCCACGGCAGAGCTGCACGGGACCCACCTGAGGGAGAATCAAATCCCTGTCCAGCCTCTTTGCCAGCAGGAAGTCGACAGAAGAGGGATTGATCTGAAGGGTCACGGGGTATGCAATGCAAGTGGGTATGTCACATGCATGAGGTGAAAGGGGTGAGGAGGGGCTCAGGGCTGCTCCTGATGCCCCCACAAACCTCACTGTCAGGGTCTGGCCAGAGTGGCCCCTCCCCATAATTGCTGTCATTTAGGGCCCAAGATAAACAAATGTCATTGCAATTATTTTTTTTGTAACATAAAACTCCACTAAACTCTTAATAGAAAAACGAAATAGCAAGGAAGTTGCAGAAGAGAAAGAGCATGAGACTCATTGCCAGACGGTCCAGTATGAATTTCGACTTGTCTGACTTGGGGCAAATTATCGACCTTCTGGGGCCTCAGTTTCCTCATTTGTAAACTGAAGATGGTCATAGCAATTCCTCCCTCACAGGCCACTGTGCCTGCAACTGAGAGACTGCTTTTAAAAAGCGCTATGCAAAGTTGATCGATTTCATCATCATCGACCAGCCCCCATGGGCCTTCTTTTTCAGTGCCTACCTGATGCCAGGTACCTCAAATATATGATTTTCAATTTTACAATGATGCACAGCTCGATATTATTAGGTCCATTTAACAGGTGGAGGGACTGAGCCTCAATCAGATGCAGTGAATGCCTGAGGTCACACAGCGAAGGAGCCCTGGATGAAAACGCAGTGCTGCCAGAATGTAGGCTTCTCCCTCCACCTCACTGCACCTCCCACGGCTCTCTGTTTTAGAGCAAGGCCATTTCAGGGAAGCCTTGCCATACCGATCTCCGCAGGCAGCTCTCACCAACTGTGCTTCAAGTGCATGGGCATTCTGGGGCCTGCATGGAACTGGCACCCCAGTGCTATGGCCTCGCTGCCCACAAAACTAAGGGCACAGCAGGGAACGGGGTACTTCCTTTGCTCCCGCGGTGAGCTGGAGACACAGATCGACACAGCGTGAATGGAACCAGGCAGAGCTGCCCACCAAAATAAAAGTGTGGCCCAAACCCAGCCCTGCCTGTGGGTGAACAAGAAACATGCCCTCCAGCCACAACTGCATTCCCAGAGCATCTGGGGATGGCTCTTACCTGGGGCGGCTCCGTATGGAAACATAATCCATAGCTGGGCTCCCACAAATATGTTTATCCCACGTGCTACATATGGAAGGAGAAATCAGCTTGTATTTCATTAAACAGTTTGGCTCAGGTCTTATGAGCAAATATTAGAATCTGTACTTGGTACAGAGTCGTAAATGCATCGTTAGCAAATCAGATGGCCGATTAAAAAAAGACATAAATCAAGCATTCCTACTGCTAAATGTTTACCGTAAGCAAAACAACAATCCCCTTGTTAAAAGTCTCTTCTGCTCTATGATTTATTAAAGTTCTGAATTCTATGCTGGGGGCCCAGGGAGTTGAAGGGTGTGGGGTGGGCTGGGTAATCTAAGCCTTCCATGTCCATTCCTGCGTTTGCCAGGGCACAGGTGGGCTTCCCCCCACCCAGGGACAGCGAGAGGCTCACCTGCAGGTCCAGGGCTGTCAGCTTGCCCTTGTCGCCCACATTCCGTGCATACTCCTCAATGGTCCAGGAAGGTTGGCCTCGCTTCACCTCGGCCAGCTCGGTCAGCCGCATGTCAGTGTACAGGGGGTTGCTCTTCATGTGGGCTTTGAGGGATGCAGGGTAGGGGTGAGGGCTGAACACCTGCTCCACCAGGAAGCCGTCTTTGGGCTGCTTGGGAAGTCGGTGCTGTGGGGGAATGTCGTACTGCCTGTCTGCCTGCAGAGGGGCACAAAGAAGTCCAGACACGTGGCACGGATGCCCTTGGATTTCACAGTGCAACTGAGCAATCAGCAGCTTTCAGTCACAGGCCCTGCAGAAATCCAGCTAGCAAAGTGCAGTTACCTCCAAGCAAATAGAAAGTATGAAAGCATACCCACATTGGGGGAAACTCTAGGAAAAGCTTATGATCATAATGTCACTAATATAAATTAACATGTCTGTGCCAGGAAGAGGTTATTTAACGTAATCTTTACGACATCACTACCATTATGAATCCCCATCGTACAGGTAGGAAAACGGAGCCCCGACTCAGTAACCTGCCCCAGAGCGTGCAGCTAGCAAAGGATGGAGCTAGGATTTAAACTGATCCTCTGGCTTCAGAGAGTCTTTGTTTACTGATATTAATGCCTCCTCTTTCTTTTACCATTTTGCAGGGGGTATGGATGAGTAAAAGATCCGGGTCCTTTCCTCAAGGAACTTGCTGAAGACCTTGATGCTACACTGCCTCTTTGGAAGGAAGAAGCCGATGCAGAAAGCATGTGTTGGGAGCCACTAGTGATTTTCCTAGGCAGCAGATGGACCCGTGTCAGAGGGGATGTGGCCTCAGGATAAGAGGGCGGTCTGGGCAGGAGTGCGGGCGCAGGAAGGTGGCTAAACAGGTGGCGATAATTTATACTCTCTGTCCTTGAAATGCAAGCCGAGAGTTTCTGCTCTCAGTACACCTGTTGTAAGACTGGGTGAGTGCTCCTTTCTGTGACTCTTAGGACTGTGTCCACACCTTTCAGCCAGCACTTGTGCCTTTGAATTGTAATTGCTTGTTTGCCCCTCTGGCTCCTCTGCTGAAGTATGAGTTCCTTGAAGGCAAGGGATTGTTTTGTTCGCCTTTTGATCCCCCTCTCCAGCAAAATAATACCATCAAGTAGAAGACACTCTGTGAATAGTCATCGAAGGGTCAGAGGCCAATGATAGGAAGCCATGTCTAAGTAACAGAGAGTAAATAAGTTGTGTATCTCAGTAATGGCAAGAGAAAAAGGAAAAGAGAATATTATCAGTCAATGTGTGTGTCCAGGAAGAAGAGAAGGAGAATGTTTAAGTGTGATGAGATGAGAGTTGATGTGCAAGAATGTGGTGGGCACATGGGGCGTGTGTGCGTGAGTGTGGCTCGTATGCTCGCATAGGGACTAGAAGCACACGTGTGTGTGTGTGTGTGTGTGGCTCATATGCTCGCGTAGGGACTAGAAGCACACGTGGGGTGTGTGTGTGTGTGTGTGTGTGGCTCATATGCTCGCGTAGGGACTAGAAGCACACGTGGTGTGTGTGTGTGTGTGTGTGGCTCATATGCTCACGTAGGGACTAGAAGCACACGTGGTGTGTGTGTGTGTGTGTATNGTGTGTGTGTGTGTGTGTGTGTGGCTCATATGCTCACGTAGGGACTAGAAGCACACGTGGTGTGTGTGTGTGAGTGTGTGGCTCATATGCTCGTGTAGGGACTAGAAGCACACGTTGTGTGTGTGTGTGTGTGTGTGGCTCATATGCTCGCATAGGGACTAGAAGCACACGTGGTGTGTGTGTGTGTGTGTGTGTGTGTGTGTGTGGCTCATATGCTCAAGTAGGGACTAGAAGCACACGTGGTGTGTGTGTGTGAGTGTGTGGCTCATATGCTCGCATAGGGACTAGAAGCACACGTGGTGTGTGTGTGTGTGTGTGTGGCTCATATGCTCGCATAGGGACTAGAAGCACACGTGGTGTGTGTGTGTGTGAGTGTGTGGCTCATATGCTCGCATAGGGACTAGAAGCACACGTGGTGTGTGTGTGTGAGTGTGTGGCTCATATGCTCGCGTAGGGACTAGAAGCACACGTGGTGTGTGTGTGTGAGTGTGTGGCTCATATGCTCGCGTAGGGACTAGAAGCACACGTGGTGTGTGTGTGTGTGTGTGTGGCTCATATGCTCGTGTAGGGACTAGAAGCACACATGGGGTGTGTGTGTGTGAGTGTGTGTGTGGCTCATATGCTCACGTAGGGACTAGAAGCACACGTGGTGTGTGTATATGTGTGAGTGTGTGGCTCATATGCTCACATAGGGACTAGAAGCACACGTGGTGTGTGTACATGTGTGAGTGTGTGGCTCATATGCTTGCATAGGGACTAGAAGCACACGTGGTGTGTGTGTATGTGTGAGTGTGTGGCTCATATGCTCACATGAATACTAGAAGCACACGTGGTGTGTGTATGTGTGAGTGTGTGGCTCATATGCTTGCGTAGGGACTAGAAGCACATGTGGCACATGTGTGTATGTGTATGTGGATCATATACTTGCATAGGATCTGGAAGCACACATGGTGTATGTGCGAGTGTGCATGTGGATCATACACTTGCATGGGGGCTAAAGCACACATGGTATATGTGTGTGAGTGTGTGGATCATACGCTTACATAAGGACTGGAAGCATGTCCCCACCTACCAGCAAATCCAACCCATTGGCTCTTACCCAAATAGAGCATAACATTTGGCTATTCCCGACCATCTAGAGCACTGACAGTGACACAGAGAACACAGGATAAATCCACACAAGGAAATGAGTTTTCCTCTTATTTTCTAAGTCATCAAAGCCAAGTATCTTCTAAGAGACGTCACTGGTTTTGTCTATTCTGCTCATCACCACCACCCAACACTCAGAACGCTCCTATTGCGTGCAAGGTCTGCACCAAGCTGGGTGAAGGGCAAAGGCAGTAATGATGACTATGACGGCAGCCACGGCAGGCACAACTGCAATTAACCAAGGGCTGACTGTGTGTCCACCGCGCTACTCAGCGCTAAACATGCATTGTCTTCATTGCATCTTCTCATTAAAATTCTGAGGTTGTAACTATGATTATCACTAGCATGGATGTGGAAACTCAGGTCACAGAGGTTAAGAGACTAACCCAATGTCACACAGCTGGTAAATGGTAGAGCCAGGATTTGAAACTGTTTCCACTTCTAAGACAGAAAGTTTCATAGCTGCCCATGCCTGTTCCTATCACTGAGTTTGTGTTCTCACTGGGCAGTCAATATATATACGCAATATGTGTTTTCAATAGAAGCTTGCATCACAAAGTCTGAATGAACAGGACTAAAGGCTGCAGATCAAAGAACAGCAATAAGCCCTAGGAAAGCTTACAGAGACTTATGACGTAAGGGGCCTCGAGGGGAAGGAACACAGGACTTAGATCAGTACAGGGGAGGTGGACCAGGCAGTCTTGATGGAGGATTCAGGAGAAGAAAATTTGACAGTGGAATAGGGCCTGGCCGTCCTCGGTGCTCAATGAATGTTTACTGAATGGGTGACCAGATGCATGAGCCTGGCTATTTTGAGGAAAGACAGGAAGACTCATCGAGGTAGAGCAGAGTCCAGTGAGTCAAGTTATACCACAGCCTTCTAGTTGAGGAAAAGTACATGAAATTCACAGGGTCATGAAGGCCTGGCTAAGACGTTTGCAACTCTTTACTGAGGCAAAGAAGAGTCAGAGAAGAGTGGGGAACTGGGCCCTGAACAACCACGGAGTGGCATTTCTGGAAAGTGAAAGCCACAGCAGTCTGTGAGATGAGGCGGGAGGTGGAGACTGCGGAGAACGTGCTCAAGCATCCCAGGTAGCGGAAAAGCCTTGACTCAGGGTAGAGGTGTGAACGGAAAAGAAGGCAGAGTTGCAAGAGACAGGATGAAAGGTACATTCGCAGGGCCTGGCAGCTACGCTGGGCAAAGCGGGCCGAAGAGGGGGACCAGAGGGGCTTCTTCAATTCGGAGGATTGCTAAGATGCTGACCCCCATCCTCACCCTCCCAGAATGGAAACAGTGAGAGGGAACGCCGATTTTAAAGGAACAGAAAAGCCTGCTTTGGGAATTGTCGATTTTGACATGTAGGCAAGACATTTAGGGGAAGCTGGCCTTCAGCAGTTTCACATGTGCGACCGAAGCTTCAAAGGCAGGCGGGGTCTGGTCACTGCCATGGGAATCACCACCCCAAAGCTGGTGAGAGCCACAAGCCAGGAAGCAGAAATGAGGTTGCAGAAGGGCACAAAATAAAGGGGGCACACGCCCAGCATCAGCAACTTTGATTCAGGCACGTCGAGTGGATCTGATTCAAGCTGTGACTGCTCATTCCTGCTGGCTTTGTGAAGCTTCCTCGTTGGATAGATGTGGGGCATGGCTAACGCAGCGTAACCTGGTATTTCTACAGAAGCACCTAACCATCTGAGTTCTCTGAATGGCCACTTTTCAATGACATCTGAAACCCAAAGCACCAGAAACCTGGCAAGACGCTGGCAGCTGAGACAGTGACAATAGAATGTGAGAAGAGGACTGGGTCTGGACGTCCTGTGCCCAGCTTCGTGGCACACACCAGACTCCGGAGCTCCCCAACGCCACATGCCGTAGGCTGCTCCAGAAGGGCAGAGAGGTAACCAGCAGACACCCGAGGTTTCTTTAAAATCGGAAAATAAATTGGCTTCTTTTACCCCGCCTCCCGCACTTTGGACCCTGAAAACTTCCTTAGAACCCAGCTTTCCAAGCTTTTCCTTCTCAGCACCGTTTGAGGATCTCAGCCTCCTCCCTGGCTTTGAGCGTCTGTAGCCCACACCTTTGTCTCTCTCTCTGACAACACACTCCTCGGAGACCTCAGGAGCAGGGCCTCGTCTGTCCATTGACCTTTTAGAAGCAGGACCTGGAATGCACACAAGCAACACACTGAAGTTGTATCACCTTGGCCAGAAAGGGGTCACTGTAGCCCAGTTAGAATGAACAGGATCAGTCACAGGTCCCACAGAAACAAATCATCTCAACTGCAGGGGGTGAGAGAAAGAAAAGATTCGAGTGTACGTGTGCACCCTGATTCCAGGACTGACGAGGTGAAGCCTGCCATACACATGCAAAAGCACTGAGCTCACATGAAAGAGCCTCCAACAGACAGTGCACAGAAAAAAACTAAATGGGAAAGAAAGACACCAGATCAAGAGTTGCTGTCTTTCTGTGTTGGAACTATGAATGATTTTCTTATTTATCTTTTTTATTTTTTTGAGACGGAGCCTCGCTCTGTCACCCAGGCTGGAGTGCAATGGTGTGATCTCGGCTCACTGCAACCTCTGCCTCCCAGGTTCAAGCGATGCTCTAGCTCAGCCTCCCAAGTAGCTGGGACTACACGTGGCTACCACCACGCCAGGCTAATTTTTTATATTTTTAATAGAGATAGTGTTTCATCATAATAGCCAGGCTGGTGTCGAACCCCTGACCTCATGATCCTATTTATCTTCTTTCCTTCCTAATCATCAATTTATTTTATAATAAAAAAAAAAACCACCCCTCATACTTAAAAAGGAACATCCCATGTGCAATGAAGTCCACGAAAGGGATGTATCCACAATCACCCTTTTCAGTGTTTTCCCTCATTTACCTGGCCTGCATCCTGCTATTTCAGAAAGGACAGGAAGATATCCTTGGTGATGCTTGCCTGCTCTGACACATTTCCCATTCTATGAAATCTGTCCTCACACCACCTGTCCAATGTATCCCAACCCTGCACTCCGCTGTTGGCGACATCACAGCAGGTGCCCCTCCTAGCGGAGGGGCCACAACCTGGCGGCACACACAACCTGCCTGTGCTGTCCTCTCCATTCCAGTGTGAAAAGCCTGCCAAACTTGGAAGGAACACTGGCACACAGAGGCCTCTTGCCTGTTTAGTGCAGTGTTCAAGGCTTTGAAATACACCAGGGCTATGATGAAGCCGGTGCCCGATGATGTGAACTTAAATTTAAATTACCTCTTTAGATTTCCGATGCCAGTCTTTATTATCTCCTGGGCCCGGGTCTTTTATCTCCTCCTCATTGAGACCCATGCGGTTGGTGTAAGTGATGGTACGCCAGTCCCTGGGCGAGTTGGAGATGCTGGCAATTTTGGACTCCGTGGCACTGTTCTCCTCCGTTAGGGACCTAGAGGACGGCCTGGTGAAGAGGCTTTTTTTTAAGGCCTTGACCCGCAGGCTTTCGCTGTTGCTCCCGCTGGCATCGGAGCAGCACCAATCAGGGCTGGTCTCCAGTTTGGGTCCGTGGGAGCTACTGTGTGCACGGAACATTCTGGGAGAGGCACTGTCGTCAGACGGAGCCTCGCTCGTCAAGGAGTTCAGGTCTATCTGCACATTCACCTTCTCAGGCTGCTGCATTTTCTGGTCTAATTTATTTAGTTTGCCCAAGACCTGGGAGATCTCTTCACGGACGCCCGACAGGGATTCCAGCTTCCGTTCGATTTCACCAATCCTGAGCACCAGTTTGCACACACTGGTCTTCAGCTCTTCTTCCGAGTGGTGGGTGTTCTCAGGCCGGCTGCTCTTGTCGCTCTTGCTGTTGGGGACCCCACTGGCAATTTTGGTTAAGTTGTGCTCGGGGGAGCTGTCGCAGTCTGACTTATGGAGCTGAGACAAAGACCCTGTGCTGTTGTAGCAGGATGACTGTATCACTCCCGTGGAGCCACTGATGCTCATGTCGTCAAGAAATCGGAAAATGTCACTGATGTCGTCACTGACAACTTCCGAGTCGTCATCTGAGTGCTTCATGGCGTGCCTGTCACTGTACTTGGCCTGACCGGAGGTGCATAGGTCTTTGCACTTCTTGGGCTCCAGCACATGCTCGGTCTGGGTGCCCACGCTGCTGGTATCTGAGCTGAGCTGCCCACTGGTGCAGTTAATGCTCTTGTCTTTAAACTTTTTGACTGGTTCATGCTTCTCCAGGTCAACAGGGGAGGAGATCTCTTTAGATTTGAGCCCGTTTGGTTTTGCTGCATAAGCAATGGGGAGAATTGGCTGCTGATCATTTGGCACGAGGTAAGTCGGGTGCCTGTCTGGGGCTGGGAAATTGGGAGTCTGGCTACTGGCATTTGGATAGCGCAGCTTCTCCTCGGAGGGATTTCTATTGAAAAAGGACCGTTCAAAGTCAGGAACTTCCTCCGTGTTCAGGCTCCAGCTTTTGGCTGGCCATGGAGCCTGCTTGCTGGGCCTCCCTGGACAGCGCCTGGTTTCCTGGGTCCCCATCACGGGAGTGGGCCCGAAGTACGTAGAGGCTTGAAGGTCATCTAAGCTTTCATGCTTTGCTCGCCTCTTGTCAGGAACAGGGGAATACACCGGGTTCAGGTACTGGCTGTTATAGGGCATTTCAAAGCTGTGGTTAAAGAAGGGTGGCTTGTGGGGTTCCTTTCGACTCTGGGGTTCCCTGTGCTCATTCTCTGCTTTGCTGATGGGGCCAACCATACTAGGGGACACTGCCATCAAATTGTGAAAATCCTCTTTAAAGATATTCCTTTTCTGGACACAGGACTGGACCACAAATGGCTCCTCATTGGAAATGAAGGTCTCCTTGATGCCCTGGTTGATGGGCAGGGAGTCCTGGTCTGAAATGGACTCGTTTTCAATGTTCATGGGGAAGTAGGTCCTCTGCATCTCACAGGGCTGAGGGCTGGTCACAGAGTAAGGGGCCAGCGCCTGCAGCCTGTCCAGGGAAGCAGCACGGTGTTTCACCTCTTTGCTAACCCCCAACAGGAAGTTAGGCTCAGAGGCAGGGACAAACTGCAAGCAGTCCTTGCAGTCTATCTTCCGGCCCTTGGACGACTGCCTGGTGGGGTGGCCCCGACTGAAAGACCTCTCACTCAGCTCGCAGTTCAGGGGCTCACACTCGGCTGCATTGCAGACCTCTGTGTCCGACCTGCGTGAGTCAAAGGATGCCTCCTTCTTGCGCACCTTCTGGCGGCCCGTGGGCAGCTTCTCCTTGGCGGCCCCGCCATTCATTTGGATCAGGTTGAATATTGTCACTATATCTGCTGCCACCATAATTTTCTTTGATTGCTGGTTATTCACAGTGCATTTCATCTTGTCTTTGAAGAGCGTGGCTGGAAAATTGGGATCGAGACAGGCCGTGTAGAAGAGCACACTTCTCAGTTTGGCAAGCTGCGACAGATCGAACCGCGCACACAGAGATTTGCACAGGTCCTGATAAGAAACGGTATTTTGCTTGCTGTCCAGTTCCTCCAAGATCTTCGCCAAGAAGAGGGAAGTTTCCTGACTGGTCTCCATGATTTCTAACTTGAAAAGCTTGCTGAGTACACTGAAACTTCAGGTCAGGTCTATGGCGGCAATATTAAGAAAAAGAGGAAGAAAAGAGGATTATGAACACCAGTGGAGTTTGAAGCCAAGCTTCTTACAAACCATATAAAGAAATACAAAGGAAAACATTTTAATGATTAAAAATGCATGAAGGGCAGTGAAAATATTTGTAACGTTCAACTTAGTAAATCCCTTCCCAGGAATCTACCTTAATGATCGATGACGATCATTATACTTAAAGATGTTCACTATGATGGCACTTACAATAATGAAAAAGCAAAACATCTTCAATATCCAAATAGCAGAATACATAAACATGCTATGATATACCATGCATTTCTACAAACATTAAAATTACGTTAATATACATTCTTACAACGGAATACTACTCATCAGCAAAAAAGAACGAACTACCAGTACATACAAGGACACAGATGAATCTCAAATGCGTTGTGCGTGGGTGGAAGAAGCCAGTCAGTGGGAAGGCTACATACTCGACTGTGTGATTCCAGCTTAATGACATTCTGGAAGACAGATGAGTGGTTGGCAAGAGCTGGATATGAGGCGGGCAGTTGACTCAAAGGGGCACAGAGACGGTTTCCGAAATGACATAATTGTTCCACATTCTGGTTTTGGTGGTGGTTACATGACTGCATGCATTTGTCAAAACTCACAGGACTCTAAACTAGAAAGCGTAAGTTTTCCTTCACATAAATAATACCTCCACTTAGAAAATTAAATAATGAAGACTTTTCATAACAAAACTATGATATAATATTGAGTGAAAAATATGAAATAAATCTGTGTGAGATTATAGTGATATAAAATTATGCATTCTTGGGAACAAAAATGACAGAAAATGATGTGCATGAAGATGTCAGTAGTGTTTAAGTTTGGATTGCAAGTGTGGATGTTTTTATGAATTGTTAATCTCTCTTCCCTAATACTTTATTATTTAAGTTTTCAAATATACAGCAAAGTGAAAAGAATTTTACAGTGAACATGAATATACCTAGCATCTGGATTCTCCATTAATATTTTACTTTGTTTGCTTTATTACATATCTATCCATGTATTCATCAAACTTTCTTATTTTTTTATTCACTTCAGAGTAAATTGCAGACATCTGTACACTTCCTCCAAATACTTTATCATACATATCACTAACCCAAGATTTTCTTTTCGTATAAAATGTACGTACAATGAAGTGCACAAATCTTAAGGGTGCATTGGCTGAAGTTTCAACAATTATGTATGCCTGTATAGTAACCAAAACCCCTGTAAAGAACTAGAATGTTCCCTTTGCCCCAGAAAGTTCCCTCATGCCCTTTTCTTTCAACCACTGTTATTTTTATAGGTGTTTTTCTTTATTATTTCCCATCTTTTCTAAAATTCTTACAAGAAGCATTTGTTATTTTGTAAGCACTAAACAATCATAAACTTTACTTTGAAATCTAATGAAAACACGACATTAACAGATCTTGGATGGTAAAATTAAAAACACTAAACCAAACATTTAACAAAAATTCATAAGAGAAGGTGAAGCCCTTCATTGATAACACAGATGCAGGTTCTAGAACTTACAAAGACACGTCAAATTGCACAATGTATTCATTTCCCTGGCGCACACTGCTTAGAAAAGGTATTTTGATAATTGATTTATCGATTTTAAAGTTAACGCAGTCCACACGTATCCAACCCATTTTCTAGGGGAATAGTATATTTTCTTTGGATTAAATTTTAGCAGCTCTAGGTAATGAGCTTTCTCTCCATCCTGAAGGCAGCCACTCCCAATGGGCTTCTATAAACATTAGCCTGGTTTCTCCATCAATGTCTGAAGGGATATGCAGAGACCAGTGGTTTGCATTTTCTTGCATGGAAAAGAAAACAACCTTTGACTGGTCTGCTCCTGCCCAGAACAAGTCACCGGGAAGCCCATTTCTTCCCAGCCCGCCCCAGCCTTCCAGTCCATCTGATGAAAGCATTCTGTGTCCAGATGTTATGGCTTGTTAAAGGTGGGGACGACCTGTCACACTGGGTCTCAGGTAAATGAATGGGTGTAGATATCAGAGTGCAGGACCAGTGAATGTAATTTTGGGAACAGCAACTACGACCCATGCATATATTTTACAGTTTGGGTGACACAAAGCACTTTCAGGACTTCCATGCTAATCCTGTGTGTGTCCTGCCTTGCACCTCGCAGGAAAACCCAACACTTAGCTTCTCTGGGAAGATTTCTCCACGTTTCTATCCTACTTTGCATGGCAAAGGAAGTCTTAATCACAGATCAAAAAACCTATTTGGAAAAGCAAGGCCCAGGGTCTCCTGATGTGAATAAAAGAAGAACAAACAAATATGGTAAGCCTGAGTTATATTTTATGAAAACGGAGATTAGGAGGTCTGCGGCTGGAAACAGGCATGTGGACACACGTGCAGCACAAGTGCCCGTGATGATCAGTTATCACAGAGAAACTGCACAGAGATTTCCTACAATGTGCAAATGAGAGCCAGAGAGGAAGAGGAGCAAAGGCAAAGATGGATTGAAAACCCGGATTCCAGGCTCTATAGCAGTGGAACAGGATCCAGCCTCCAGCATGAAGCCCTCAGCAGTCTATTTGACCACACAAACAACTGTGTGGGGCAGGAAGAGCACCCCCATGTTACAGATAAAGACTAAGGAACTCAGAGAGGAAGTAACCGTGTAATCCAGACAGGGAACGTGAGTTGCCAGGGTCCGGTATTGGGTTGGGGCGCAAGCAGACTCCAACCCAGGTCTTCTGAAGCTGTTGAAGGAGCACTAGGCTCAACTGCGTGCCAGGAGGAGGACAAGCACCCACTGCCTACTGTCAGAGGTGGATAAGGGGTGGGGAGCCGCTATGGACGGACCACCTGCTATGTGCTGAGGCCTCACATGGTTTTAGGCAACAGCTCAGCGAAGGAGGCACAGACCCTCCTCAGTTATTCAGGAGAAATGAGGAAAAGGAAGCTAGAAAAACTACACTGAGAGCGTGAAACTACATAGACTGAACCCAGATCTGGAAGAGCAAGGCAGAAATATCCGCCTGGAATCTGGGGGCCGAGCAAAACCGCCTTGGGACACATATTCATGCGTACCCCCCAACACACAGCTCCACACTCACACTCACACACTCACCCAGACTCCCACACACACAGCTCCACACTCAGACTCACCCAGACACGCTCACATGCACACTCACACACTCACCCAGACTCACACACACTCCCACACACATGGCTCCACACTTACACAGCTCCACACTCACACAACTCCACACTCACAGACTCACACACAGACTCACCCAGACACGCTCACACACACACTCACACAGACTCACAATGACATGCTCACACACACAGCTTCACACTCAGACTCACACAGACATGCTCACATACACACACTCACCCAGACTCACACACTCACCCCCACAGCTCCACACTCAGACTCACCCAGACACACAACTCCACACTCACACAGCTTCACACTCACCCAGACTCACCTAGACACACACACACACACACACACACACAGCCATCAACTCTCATCCACAGCTTCACACTCACACACCCACACTTCCACACAGCTTCACACACCCAGACACACTCACTCACACAGCTTCACACTCAGACTCACCCAGACTCACACACGCACTCACAGCTTCACACTCAGACTCATCCATACACACAGCCACACAGCTCACACCCACACACACACACACACAAACTCAGCTTTATACCCAGACTCATACTCTCACACACACTCACACAGCTTTACACTCAGACTCACCCAGTACATACCCACACAGCTTCACACTCATCCAGACACACACTCACACACTTACACAGCTTCACACTCACACAGCTTCACACTCAGACTCACCCAGACACACACTCACACAGCTTCACACTCAGACTCACCCAGACACCCCCACAGCTCCACTCACACAGCTTCACACTCACACAGCTTCATAGTCACACAGACTCACCCAGACATGCTCACACACACATTCACCCAGACTCACACTCACACACCCACACACACACACACACACAGCTTCACACTCAGAATCACCCAGACACACACCCACACTGCTTTGCACTCACACAGACTCACCCAGACACACACACTCACAGACTCACCCCCACACTCACACATTCACACAGCTTCACAGACTCACCCAGCCACACACACCCACACACACACTCAGCTTCACACGCACACAGACTCACCCACACACTCACATGCAGACACATTCACACAGCTTCACACTCAGACTCACCTAGACACACACCCCCATACACACACAGCTTCACACAGACTCCCCAGACACACACACCCACACACAGACTCACCCACTCACAGCCAAACAGCTTCACACTCAGACACACACACAGCTTCACACCCACACAGATTCACTCCACACACAGACTCACTCAAACCCACACTCACAGCTTAACACACAGACTCACCCAGAAACACACTTGCACAGCTTCACACTCACACAGCTTCAGACTCAGACATACACATATCCAGACACACACAGCTTCATACAGACTCACACTACACCAACATACTTGCACAGCATCACACTCACATAGACCTATACACACACAGAATCACATTCATATACAACCACACATTCATACACGCACTCTCAAGCACACAGACACACACATCCACGTACACACACAGACCTACACTCACACTCACTTGCACACACAGTCACACTTCCACACACCCATGTGTACACATAATTCACACAAGTATTCAAGCTCCCACACATCCATAAACACATTCACACCTCTGCACACACACCTTCACAAACACGTATACACCCACATAGGCTCACTCACATTCTCACGCACACGCTCCTCTCCTGGGTGTCTCTGTCCTCAGAGTTTGAACTTTCTTAAGACCCCAGCACATCTCCATGCATATCTTGGGGGCTAGGCAGCCAACAAATCCACCGTCTCTGGCATTTGGGAAGCTGACCCCACGATGCTGCACTT